CGATGTGGCACCATTTGAGACGAGCAGGTCGGTCGCAATGCCAACGGCCGGGTTGGCTGTCACGCCGCTATTGCCGTCGCTCCCTCCGCATTCTGTCCCCAGAATAATTTCAGAAACGGGAATTGGCTCTCGCTGCGCGTTGTTGACTTCGGGCAGCAATTCTTTGATCGCTGCCACACCACGGGCAACTGTTTTCGCGACACCTCCCTGATCCTGAATATTCATGATCAACGGTTTTGATGAGGTCTCTGGCTCACCATTCAACTGCACAAGATTGTGCTCCTCAGCCAGAAAACTGGCTTGTGAGGTCTCGCAGCCGAGACCAACAATCAAATAGGCAGCGATGTTGGGGTGTTCAGCAAAACCAGCCAGAGTGCGTGCCAATAATCGATGATCTGTTCCACCATACTCAAAGGCACAGCCCCCTTTGTGAGCGAGGGCGACAATGCCATCTATGTTTGGATAGTCAGCGAGGACAGACTCATCAAAGGCATTCGCGATGTATTTTGAAGAGGTCGCAGAGCAATTCACCGTGCTGATGATCCCAATATAATTGCGAGTTGCGGCACGACCACCTGGCCGTCTGTAGCCGAGAAACGTTCTCTCCTCAGCAGGGGCAGGGACATCATCAATCGCGGTGCAATATTCGTAAGAATGCCCCAGTTCGCCCAATCCTACATTATGTGTATGAACCCAATCTCCCGGTTTGATTTCTTCCGCCGCAAAGCCGATTGGCTGCCCGAATTTGCGTATCGGTTCTCCCGGAGCGATGGCAGCAATCGCCATTTTATGTCCCATGTCGATTCGCTGCTTGGCTGCGGTGGTGTTCCCATTTTCTTGATACGTTTCGCCAGCCTTGCAATGTCTGCGGGCGACGACAACGTTATCGAGGGCATGTAGACGCAGAAACGAGTCTTGTGCGGACATGGAGGAATCAGTCTCTATGTGAATGAAAAATGAGTTGATAATTTCGACATCATAAGTCGCTTAACAAAGTTTGCCTATTGAAGGGGGATGGGCAAAAATATCCTTTTTACAATCAGGTGAAAGGAGTCAGGCAGGCGAAAGGAGACAGGTTCTATGGACTTCTTAGTGGCGATGTGTAGTGAACTGGCGTGATATTCATTTCATCAACTTTCGTCGTAGATCGCTCCGTCGATCTAACGTATTCACAGTTGTGCGTTCAATCGCCTATTACACACGATCACGGAGTGATCGGCGACTATGAAGTCACTCTATTGTGTCATTGATCTATGGCGGTATGATCAGCTACGAGATAATACGAATTACCAAGAGATTTCAGATGGGCGTCAAAAACTGGCTGCAACATGCGTTTGCCGTCGAAAAGAAATTACCACCACCAACCAGCGAAGAGTTAGCGCTTGTCAACAAACTGGCTGTGGAGATCGTGCGGCGAGAGCTCTCGACACCCGCCATCGCAGTATTGGAAATGTCCAAGCCCTTGAACTACATCAGCTCTCAAGCCATGCGTTTTTTTGAACCGGCGATTTCTTCAATTGTTGATGCCAATGATTATGTGACTCTCGCCAAATTCCTGGAGCGCCGCGATTCTCTGGAGATTCTCATCCAAATGGTGGAGGAGGAAGACCGGAAACGTACTAAAGGTAATGCGTCGCCGTAGGGTGAGCGAAGTTCGTTGATACATCTGAACGGTGGGTTTTGAAAAAATTATGAAGCAAGATGAATAGTTCTTTATCAAGAAAACCGAGAACGTAACCCACCAACTCAGCGTTCAAGGGTGCTGGATGCGAGAGGCAAACGAATTGATCCAGGATGAATCAGAAGTGAGAAGATTTCAAGCAACGATTGGTGTTGTCTGTGCACTTCATCTGGAGGTAACACCGTTACTCGATCAGTTATGTCCGGAGCGAACGCAATCGGGCAATGGACTCAAATTCTATGACTGCTATTGGAATGATCTCAGAATCGTGGTCGTCGTCGGGGGAGTTGGTGAACGCAAAGCGAAGGCGGCGACTCATGCGCTGATTGATGCGGTCTCTCCGAGTTGGATTCTTTCCGTCGGATTGTCAGGAGCATTGGTCGAGTCACTACAGATCGGTGATGTGATCCTGGGGAATGGGTTTATCAGACAAAATGGACGTGAGGAGATTCTACAGGACTTTGATTTTTCAGATGATCTTGAAAAGAGATTGTTCGTCGGAAAACTCTGCACTGCGGACCACATCGTACGGACGCGAGAAGACAAACGAGAACTTCATGAGCGAACGAAAGCTCTCGCTGTAGATATGGAATCCTTTGCAGTTGCGAAAACAACTCGCGACCGAGGAGTCGGCCTGATGGCCATCCGCGCCATCAGCGACGATGTCTCACGAGATTTACCCAAAGAGATCCTGGCCATTTTCGGCCCCAAAGGCACTATCCGTACCGGAGCATTGGTCGGAACAATCTTGAAGCGCCCCGGAAGCGTTAAAGACCTCTGGGCCATTCGAGAGAACGCAGTCTTAGCTGCCAAAAACCTGGCAGCGGCAACGCTGGATTTTATCCCGTTGCTTGTGAGATGCGACTAATCACGGCAGGTTGCGACTGTTTTGACACAAAAGACCCGTAGCAGGCCTGAAGTGATCAGCTCAGTACATCATAAAGTGTCCAATTTCAACAAACTGCAAACCCAAAATCCGCGCTCACAAATCGTGGGGAAGTTCAAACTGCCAAACCATTAGAGTTTGAAAAACAGCAGATAACAATATTAATTTACCAGGACTTCATTCCTCAGATTCGACGCTTTTTCTAGTCACGATTGTGCCATCCATCAGGATGCCAACTTGGAACCAAAATCCTGGTCCACTACCGCCACCTTTTGTAAATTGCCACTCATATGTGGCGAGCCAAAACCAGTGACCACCAAAAGGCTTCAATGAGAGCCCATCGAGTACGTATTTTCCATCTTTTTGGACGGGGTGTTCTTTTTTCAAAAAATCTTCAGCTATCCTTAAAGCTTTACGTGCTGACAAAGGAGGGTTCTCAGTATTAAGGTCCCAATGAGGGGCCTGTTCCAAAATATCAATATTAACCCGTGTTTCATAAGAGCCACCGGTCGCTGGGTAACAGTAAAAAGTTTGCTCTGCACAAATTGTGTTTGCTGAATAGATTAATATAAAGCATGCATTGATCGTAGAACACTTCTTGATGTTCATAATCCAGACTCTCCAAGTGAACAGATTTGAGATCAGACAGTACGGTCAGTGTATTCAGTGAGAAAGGTCATGGCGTGTGTCGCGATGAGTCCATTGCCATCCATGCACGTTTCATTGCATGAAAGAGCATGGTCAGAGTACTGACGATTATAATTCAGAGTTTAACTTATGTAGCTCACAAACAGATATATCGAAGGCACTAATTCATGTCAGACGCCACCAAACTGTTCGACCACACCAACTGGTCTGTGATCCACATCACAGGACCGGATCGGAAATCTTTTCTGCACAGCTTCTGTACCAATGACATCAACAAGCTGACGGAGGGGCAGGTTTGTGAGGCGTTTGTACCGGATGTGAAGGGGCGGATTTTGGGGCATGTGTTGGTCATCAATCTGCCCGATCGACTGAGCTTGCTGTCAGTTCCCGGGACGAATGAAAACATCGCCCCGCATCTCACGAAGTATCTGCTTGGAGTGGAAGCGGAAGTGAATGACCGCTCTACCGGTGAGGGAGTCGCACTCATTGTGGGTGACTTTGCTGCTGCTGGTTTGCCCACTGAGCAACCACAGGCGAATGCGCAGGTGAGTGAATTCGAAATCGATGGCAACAACCTCCATCTCTTTCGGTACGACATCACTCCTCAACCGACATACTGGATTACAGGTTCTGTTGAGGGAATCGCTGCGCTTGTTTCATCTATGAGCGGCTCTGAGATTGCGATTGGAACTGATGAAGAATTTCAAAGTTTGCGAATTGCTGGTGGATTTCCCTTTGCAGGGACAGACATAACTGATGCGAACATCGCCCAGGAAGCAGCCCGCACTGAGCAGGCGATTAGTTTTACGAAAGGCTGCTATCTGGGGCAGGAGCCAATCGCCCGCCTCGATGCAATGGGACATACCAACAAAGAACTGAGAGGTTTTCACATCGCAGGCACAAATCTCTCCCCTGGAGCCAAGTTAGTCGTGGATGGAAACGAAGTTGGACAGCTGACATCAGTCGCTGCCTGGGATGTTGACTCGTCAGTCGGTTTGGGAATCATTCGCATCAAGTTTGCTCAACCAGGTACGAGTGTCGATGTGGTCACTGACAATGGCACATACGCAGCGAAATTCTTCTGGCCAAAACTGTCAGGAGAATGACTTTCATCGAAGATCATCGATCTATACAGTGGGAAGCAACGAAATCTGTCCTAGCCTGTTGATCGATAATCTATGTCGCCTGCGCTACTCGCTGTTCTCTCTTTGGCACCCATCTTCATCGTTGGAGTTCTGCTGGTTGGCCTCCGTTGGCCTGCCAGCAAAGCGATGCCAATCTCTTATCTGGTGGCAGCAACGCTGGCGTTGGCTGTCTGGCAAGTTCCTGTGAATCAGGTTCTGGCCGCTTCGATCAAAGGCGTGGTCATCGCATGTACGCTGCTGTTCATCATCTTTGGAGCGATCCTTTTACTCAATGTCCTCAAGGAAGGAGGAGCATTACAGCGAATTCGGCAGACCTTCACCGATATCTCTCCAGACCGACGGATTCAGGCGATCATCATCGGGTGGCTCTTCGGTTCATTTATTGAAGGTTCAGCCGGGTTTGGAACCCCAGCTGCTGTCGCTGTCCCTTTGCTGGTCGGTCTCGGCTTTCCGGCGTTGTGTGCAGTGCTGGTCGGCACGATTATTCAAAGCACCCCTGTTTCGTTCGGTGCCGTGGGGACTCCGATTCTCGTGGGAGTCAAAAGCAGTATCGAAGGGAGCCCCGATGTGCTGAACTACTTCACATCTATTGGGGAACCGTCGTTGCCTGCTGGTCTTCAGAATATCGGCTTCCGCGTTGCGATATTGCATGCGAGTGCCGGAGTGTTGATTCCACTGATTCTCGTCTGCTTTGTGACTCGTACCTTCGGGGAAAAGAAATCGTGGAAGGAAGGTCTGGAAGTCTGGCCCTTTGCTCTCTTTGCAGCAGTCTCGATGCTGGGGCCTTATCTCCTCGTCGCGTACTTTCTGGGGCCAGAATTCCCTTCGCTATTGGGTGGGCTGATTGGATTAACAATCGTCATCACCGCTGGCAGACAAGGCTTCCTGGTTCCTGACAAAGATAAGGCCTGGGATTTCCCTGATGCCGCAACTTGGCCTTCTGCCTGGAAAGGGACGATGGAACTGAAACAGGAAGCGACTTCAAACATGTCGCTGGTGCGTGCCTGGCTCCCTTATCTCTTTGTCGCCCTGTTACTGGTTTTAACTCGCATTCCCAACTTGCCACTTCCATTCGTTTCGACAACTGATGGGAATCTTCTCAATCAAGTGGTCAAAGCATGGACGATTGAGTCTGCCGATTTGTTCGGAAGTTCGATCTCGCTGAAGGTGCAGCCATTGTACATCCCGGGCTCAGTCTTCGTTGTCGTCGCCATCGTAGGTTGCCTGCTTTTCCGTATGAATTGCTCACAAATTCAGACAGCATTTCGATCATCTACTTCCACGATCATCAAAGCGTCTGCTGCCCTGATCTTTGCTGTTCCGATGGTGCAGGTTTTTCTGAACAGCGATCATGGAGCAGCCAATTATGAGAGTATGCCCTACGTGCTGGCGAACGTTGTCTCTGACATGGCCGGCAACGCCTGGCCCTTGTTTGCTCCTGCGTTAGGAGGGCTGGGCGCTGCGGTGGCGGGATCGAATACGAACTCGAATATGATGTTCGCTCTCTTCCAGTTCAATGTCGGTCAGCGACTCGCTGTCGATCCGGGTTGGATGATTGCTCTCCAAGCGGTCGGTGGAGCCGCTGGCAATATGATTTGTGTTCACAACGTCGTGGCAGCTTCCGCAGTCGTCGGGTTGATCGGTCGCGAAGGCGACGTCATTCGCAAAACATTTTTCCCATTCTGTTATTACATCCTGCTCACTGGAACCTTGGGGATGATCATCTTGTTTGTGTTGAATAAAAAATAAATCGTCGCCGACCGCTCCGTCGGTCGTGCGTCTTGCAAGTGGGCGTCCAACTGACTTGACGCTATATCGACGGAGCGATCCGCGACATAGATTTCACTTACTTAAGGCAGCAACTATGCTTCTTTTTCGATTCCTCTTCATCAATCTGCTTTTAATTACAATCTGTACATCAGCGTTGGCAGAAACTGAGCCCCCTTTACCGAATATCCTGTTCATTTTAATCGATGATATGGGCTGGGCTGATCTGGGATGCTATGGCAGCCAGTTCCATGAAACTCCTCATATCGATAAGCTCGCTGCTGAAGGAATGCGGTTCACTGACTTTTACGCAGCTGGGGCTGTTTGCTCCCCCACGAGAGCATCGATTCAAAGTGGTCAGTATCAAGCTCGCTTGGGGATCACCGACTTTATTCCAGGGCATCGCAGGCCATTTGCTCCATTGACTGTTCCGGCTGTGGCTGACCATTTGCCGATGGAAATCGTCACTCCGGCAGAAGCACTCAAGAGACAAGGCTA